CGAGAGACAAAGAGAGATTCAAATAATTTAGCACCTAAAGCACCCAGCAAAAACAAAGTTGCTCAGGGAACCAAATAACAGAAAAACAAAGAGATCCAATTAACAGAAAAACAAAGAGACTGCATTATCATCACCATCATCAGCGGACATTGGAACAGCCTGCCTGTGTGATCAAAAGTCCCTTCATGACTTTGTAGTTGACCGAGCTGGTTGCTGACAAATAAAAGCATTACTTAAGACTCTAAAGTCCTGAAGTGCCATGGAGGGAATTAAAAAAAAAAAGTTACCCAGAGGTTGGAGAGATCCTGTGAACAAAGCAGTGCAAGAATTTCCTCAGGATAAAGTACATATGCTAAACTTCATTTTATTTCTTGAAGCTTCTTATGTGCCTTTGTGACTGGAGAAGCATCTCATCACACAGTCAGGGTAGCAGTGACTTGTAACAAGAGGCACAACTCTGTTGAAACCCCAAAGGAAAATGACAGGGTGTGAGAAGACCTGCGCCTCAGCCGTGGAACTTCAGACAGAAATGATTCTTAAGCCATGTGGCAACCTAGCCTTTTAAAATAGGACTTGATCTCGTCCCAGATTGCTCGAGAGTGAAAGGCCCTCTTTGCCTGACACTGCAACAGGCTCCTGTAATCAGGTCCACTCAAGCAAAACCATGGCTTCTCACGAAATCTGGGAGCAGCCAGTTTTGCATAGTGCAATCGGTCTGCAGTGTCACCTATTGTGAACTTCTGTGTCAAATGCCAACAAAGGACTCCATTATCTCTGCAGAGGAAGGACACCAGTTATGCTGGTGCATGTTTCCTCATGAAACCCGCCTGGAAACACAGGGCACTTTGATGGCCCCACTGGAGCGCCTGGCTTCCTCGTTTCTGATGCCAGGGTATCTATCCCAGCGTGCAAGGCCATGCTGGCTGGCTGCGCTGTGTGCAGTGGCGAGATGACCATCAAGGATAAAGCACAAGGCTGTTTTGAGAGTCAAATTAGTCACAACAATGATGGTGCCACTTCAATACTCCCCCCCCCCCAAGAGAAGTGAATAAAACAAAAGCATTTTTCCTGAAATACTTAGTTTTAATGCCGTGCTGGTTAACTGATTTGCGCATCAATTTAAGATGTGACACTATAAAAATGAAAGAAATGGCAGATATGTTCAACACGATACTTAAGGAACATCAAGACAGGCAAACAGTAAGACTTCTGTTATTACTTTTTGTACTTTTACAGTATGTCCCATATATTTTTTTTATGCCTACTATATTCATAATGGTTTCACGTCCCCTTGTCTCTGTTTTGTGAAGTTTCCTGTAGGATATGTGCACATTACCCCCAGACACCCCAGCAAATCACACCAGTCGACAGCGTGCCTGAAAGGGATCCCGAAGCCTGAACCACAGGACGTGTGATGGGAGACACTGAAGTTGCACAGCCTTTAGTGTGGACCACTGTGTGCAACATTCAATTTCATCACCCCCTTAAAATCCGCCGTTCAAGCTAGCTCTAAAGAATGTCTCTGAGACAGCAAGTCAGCACGGACAGCCCCAGCCCCTCTTGCAAAAAGAGCTTAGGGGGTTTGTACCAAGTATAAACTGTTACTTCAATAACAACAACGAGTATTAACACAGCATCAATAATTTCATTAGCAAAGGTGTTCCTAGCGTATCACAATGCATCAATCTCTTTTCTCCTCTCCTCAGGCCTGAGGACGATGACACACGCTGGCCTGCGTGGCACCCGTCTCCAGGCCCTCGCGTGCCTCTCCGGACTCACCTGTGCGCCGTCCGCGCCGCCTTCCGAAGAGGCGGAGGAGGGGGGGCCAGCCTTTTGCCGGTCGATGCTGCGGCTCCGCAGGGGCCCTCGGGGAGGGTGCAGGGGGCTGGCCGAGGCTGAACGAGGACAGAGGTGAGACTCTGATAAAGTTAGGGGCATTGGAGCACGGCCAGCAGAAACAGGGAAGCGCCAAGTGGGACAGCAAAGCAGAGAGAGAGAGAGAAAGGGAAGGGATGGGCAAAAACAGAAAACAAGATTATATGCATACTGGATCCCTTATATGCTGCACAGACACCTGTCCAACGATGGCCAAGATAGCTGCTGGGGGACAGCAGCAGCAGATGGGGCGTCCCCGAAGCTCACACAGCGTCCCAGAGCCACACGACACAGCACTGCCAGCGCACAGTACGAACACGAGGAGTGTGCAAGCAGCAGCAGGCACAGACAGCGACAGGGCGCACACCAGGGGCTTCACCTGAACTGCACTGCGAAACGCTGCTGAGTACAGCACCGTCAGAGCCTCCAGTACAGCAATTAAAAAACATCACTGTGTGTCAAAACCCCAACGAGCTTTCCAGGCTTCATCCCAGAAATAAATCCCCGGACAGTTAAATGTAACACTGTGAATGGGAGAACCCTTCTGGGATAATTGTCTTGGTGGGCTTAACCTCTTGCTGCACATGTAACTATAAGGTTAATAAAGTCACAAACAAACACATGCTACAATGTATATGTATTGTTTAATCAAGACCTATCACGATAAAGGGATTGTCTTTATCTTTGTGTGTGTGTGTGGAGGAGTTGCTACACATGATTTAGGGATTTAGTCATTAATCCACTAGGGTCTGGAGTCCTGACCTCATCTGCTCCTCACCAGGAATATGAAACGCTAATTAATTTTGACAGGTTACTCAGATACAGGAGCAAAACACAAAAAACAATCCTTTCCTAAGTCTTTGCTGAGTCGATAGATTAACATGCTCAAGAAACAAGGCATACAATATGTATACAAAACCAAGGAAAAATTCAAAATGCCTTGTGAGGGCTGAGCACACAGTACTGTACTGTACCTACAGAAAAACAGGAAGGACAAATAATACGGTACAAGAGAATGCATCTTAAATGGCCATGGCCAGAATACCACTCGAGCAGCTATCACTTTTTTAAATAGCTAGTCTCTATCCGTACTTCACTCCTGTCCTTGACAAATACCGGAATCGGTAGCCGAATACAATAGCCAAGGACAAATAGCTATTCAGTGTATTATGGCAAAAATCAGACATTGAATGCGAATCAAATTGAACAAGTATATCTACACTTTATACAGGGCCAGTGTAGAATAGGGGAGGCAGAGTTGCTTTTTTCCAATTAAGTGAGTTCAGATGAATTTTCACCCAGTTACCCTTTGTGTTAGAAGTGCAAGCCAATGAACAGTGACTCCCCCCCTTCTCAATGAACGAGGGACAATTTCTCATCTTAATTCACAGCTCCTGCGTGTGGGGGTGTAAGCAATTTAACGTGACCCTGAAACCACTGCTCGTCTAAAACTCTGTATACAGACTTACACCGCGTCCTTCGTTTCCATTACTCCTCTGAAAATCGAAGATTTAGAGATCGTGTCTGCAGTTCACATCCACCTGGGATTTTCGTAGCGCCCTTGCTAAAAACTGAATTCTCTATATTTGATCTTAACAGCCATCCTTTTCCAGCAAACGAAAGTGGGCGACACTTCACCAGACGAAACCCCTCAGCATCGGGAACCCCCCAAGTACCATCAGGAAGGAAAAACCTGACCGGCTTCCCTTTGCAAAGCACGAGCTGCCACCCAGCAGCGAAGATACCCTGACAATGCAAAACAAGGAGGCCGAGGTATGGCGCTGTATGGCGCTGTGTGTGTGTGTGTGAGCTTCTGCCACAGCAGACGCAATGCCACGCCGTCACCACACACAACGACACAAGCGCTGCCGGGGGTCCCCGCTGGCTGTGCTCTCTCTGTGCGTGGGCCCCGTTACCTGGCGGGTCTGCTCCGTCAGCTGACAGGGCAGCGGTGCTCTTGCTCCTAGCTAAGGAGGCTTGCGTGGGCGTGAGCAGGCGGCTGATGACCCCGCTGTCCAGGGGGCCGGCCAGGGTACGGCGTGCTACACCGAAGCAGCCCGAGACACACAGACAGACACACAAACAAACAAGGGGGGTGAAAAACACAGGAGTCCGGGTGAATTCAACAAGCAGGAGAAATGGAAAAAATCAAACAAGAAGGGCATCAACGTAAAGAGTCAAATCTGGGTGGTTTCATCGTCGAGAGCTTGTTAGGCGACGGTGCATTAGTGAGCCATTCCAATAAACAAACGGGGAGGAACTCAAAAGCACAAAAAACGCAAAAGAAAGGAGGTGTGAGACGAAATGAAAAAACAAAAGCAGGGTAAACGCTCCCAACAGAGGGACAGCAAAGTCTCGCTCATTTTTATTGCAGGTTTTGAGTCAGTGAGTTTCGCAACTAAGATACAAGTCGTCTCGGGTGACTGTAGGAGATCTCACGCAGACTTTGTTAATCTATTAAGGCCAAACCAACGCCCACTTCCGATATTCGAGCTGATCATTGCATCGCAAATCTTGATAGAGGATTTTTGCTTTTGCTGTAATCAGCATGTTTCATTTTTACATCAGAAAAGCCTACTTTTTGGGCAACCTGCCCCCAGCTTGTGAGTAAAACCTGCAATGAAAACCAAAAGCTCGTTGGACTTTGCGGGACTCCAGACTCACAAAAAAATATTGTAACTTCGGTTACAACGGGGGGAAGTGAAAAGGAAAAGACAAATAAAACAAACCCTGCTCTCAACTGCTATTCTTTTCTCTGTGCTGAACTGAAGGCGTACAGTATATAGATGCTCCCTTAGCAGAAACACTGGAATAACAATGTTACGCACACCTGATGAGGCAAATGTGTTTTTATGTTTCAGACTACAAAAGTACAAACAGCTCACATCTGTAACCTTACCCAGTTCTAAAAAGATTCAGTTAGATACAGTTAGTTATACACTGTAATGGGTTGGAATAGGATTGCAGAGCTGAATGAAATGAGTATAAGAAATAAAGTAACAATGCCTTGGGACCAGAAGCTTTCCTTAAGAAGATACTACAAGCCTCAATCCAATTTTCAGCATATTCAAACACCGGAGGATTTATACAAGAATAACTTGAAAACGTGTCACACCCACTGAAGGAAAAGCATCCCCCTTTAAAAGAGAAAATCAAAATACAGGAGACACGCATTAAGCAGTCTTTTACATTGTTTTGTGACTCTTAGGCTGCGAAATCCAGTTACCAAGGAAGTATCAAATCTCATTTTCCAAAGGCATTCCACAAGAGCCAAACAGCTGAGAAAGAAAAAAGTCAGATGACAATACTTTGGTTCGAGCAGGAAGCGAGGACCTCCCTATGGTAGAAGCTGTTAAAAAGTGACAAAAAAAAACATTTGCGCACTCTTCTTCGAATATGCTTGTGTTAGAGGGGCAGAAAAAAACTGCGAAGAAACAGGGGAAATAGGAAAAAAAAACAGATGTTGTGAGTAATGAAGATGGCCCACAGATGGGAGAATGGGAAAGATCAGTCAGGTTTCGTTCAAGACAAGCAAAGCCAGACGCACACAAGAGTCTCAAGCCAGTTAATATCACTGTGGGTTAAATGCCGCACGTGCTGTTAGCCTCAGCACTTCTGCACAGCCTTAATGCTTTTAGCACATAAGCCAGTTATTCCTGGATTCAGTCTTGGGGACGACAGGCAAGCAACCAGTGCAGGTGTTATTTGCCACTAGTGTGGCTCAGCCTAGCAAGCGTGATTGAAGAATATCTAGCCACCTTGCTCCTCCTTTGTCCCTTTCTCTAGCTTGGGGGACGCCTGCGATCTATTCCCCACTCTAGTGAGAGAGGAGCTCCTCTTCTTCGCAGCAGAGCCTACAAACAACCAACGGCAACAGACATGTCTCATTAGGGGTAGGATACTGCACCACTGCAATCACGCTGCAGAATCACGGGCTGCTCGTTAACACACGAGGGGAGCTACCTCCCTAAGCCCAAGAGATCCGACAGACAGCACACCCCTTTCCGATCAAAGTTCTCAATCTGTCTTGGAGGCTGTTTTTTGTTGTCCAAAATAATTTGCAAACAAACGCAAAGCGTGACAGTCATAGAACTGGGAGTGTGTGTGTGTACACAAGCTGGGACAACTTATATAACGATAATCTAGTCATTCATTCTCGGCCTTTTTCGACCCCCGGTTCACAAATTCTGAAGGAAGAGAGAGATTCTGTGTAGAGTCCGAATCTGACAGAAATTGAGTAATTTGGCTGACTAATCATAATACTTCTGTACTGTACCTCATTCCACTAAAATACAGCCCAGTACACAAGCAGAAGAAAAATTGTGATGACTCTGGCTATAGACGATGAGTCAACTATATAGCTAACCTAGACACGACAAGAAACAGAAAGGGAAACCGAGTACCTAGAAACTGCTAATTAAAGGGGCACAAAAAGAGCACTTGTAATAGGGGTACATAGGGGTGTTATATATTGGCCTCAGAATATACAGGGCTGACACGAAATTGCTTGGGTGCCAGGTTCACAAAAAATAAGAATACACAAATGCAGGCACACCAAGACAACCACACGACTGTCACAAGCACTGGTTTGGGGAAGCGAGGTTAAGATGTGCACCGTCCTAGAAATCGGAGAGCTGAAGAGCTCAGGACGCAATCTGCTGGGGAAAGCAGAGGGGAGACTCTGAGCATCTTCATACCAGCCCTGTACCACTGAGACAACACACTCTGAACGAAGGGTTTCCTGCACCTGTCTGCTGCTCCTCGGACTGCTTTTGGGGTTCCTTAGCAGGGGCCTTACTAGGCAATCGATTGAGAGAGGAGCTCCTCCTTTTAGCACCTGGGGAACAGAACATAATTACATCCTGAAACAGCGAAGGGACGGCCAAGGAACAAAATGGATCTTAAAAAGAGCAATAATATTTAGAAAATTACTTGCAAATTTGCATCCTTTATTACTCTCGACTTCAAAACAAAGAAAGAGACCACAGAATCGTTATTTTAAAATGTAAACTCGGTTGTCCTCAATGAAGAAACCTGAATCACAACAGGAGAAAAAAGTTTGACGATAGGCTTTTATCCCTGGCAAAGGAAAAAAGGTGCAGAAAGTTCAAAGGCAAAAAAAGAGGGAAGGAGAAAAATTAGAAGGCGTGATCATCAGTTCACCTGTTCAAAATAACTATTACACAACACAAAACAAATCCCCAAACCAAGAGAGTATCGTACTTCAGAAGGAAAATCCACCTTTAAATAAGAGCCATTTCTGTGCTGATTAAATATTTTAGAGCTGGGTTTTCCCCAAAACAAAAAGAGCAGAAAGTTATTATTCATTAATAATGCTCATTTTAATGAATGTGCTTGTGATTCTTGCCGATTACGACGCGCAGGGGGGGAAGGATTCAGGGCTTGCATGTGGGTCGCGTGGCACGCGGGCTGGCTATCAGCCTCGCCAGGTTACTGCAACCAGGCAGGGCCCGGAGCTCGATTCGCCAGCCCAGGGGCTGCGTTCACCAGTCTGTCCAGAGCGCCTCTCGGCCGGAAGGCTGCCCCCTCGCCAGAGGGCACCGGAGCCTAAAGCTCTGGACACACCTAGACGTTAACAAGGGTAAGGGGTTAAAGGACAGTGGAATGAAATGGTCTGGGAGGGGGGCTGACACAGTGCAGAGCTGCCCCGATTCCCGGAGTTTACTTACTTTTCTCGGGTGAATTCATGAGGGTGGCGGAGGATGAAGAAAGGCGTTTGCTGATTACACAATCGGCCTGTTTCAGGTTCGTTGTGGATGTAGAGCGTTTGTCAGCTGGAGGCGAGAGAGAGAGAAAGGGCTGTAAGGGCCTGTTAAAAGGCAGGGAGCAGAGGAGCAAGAGGTCTCTGCTATTCCACACAGAGAGCATGTCCTGAGGCCCTGCAGCTCGTTAACAGCCATCTCGTCACGGTGTGGGGGGCTGTCCACCAGTATTACCCAGAGGTAGGGTAGGGCAGTATTACCCAGAATCCCACATGAACTTCACTACTGCTCTTCGCCAGACGTCTGTAATGCAGACAGGAAGATGGGAAGAGCAGTGCAATAACTTTAACCAACCTGAGTTCTGTGGGGTGACCAACCTGGGGGATTAGGTGGGGTGGTGGGCTGGTCTTACCGATTGGCCTGGGTGTGTGTTTGTTTTGTTTCTGTTGTGTGGTTGGTAAAAAGAAAAAAAGTGAAGCTGTTCAATCGCATTGTGAATTGTTCTTTATCTTGTGTTTTTCTTTTTCTTTTGCTCCAAGAAAAATAAAAATGACCTCAGCTCCACTGCAACACACACCAGTACGGCCTCTCATGTTTAAACAGCTCCAGACATGAGAGAAGCTGTGTTACACTTACACATTGCCAAAAAAATGCCATGCTAATGCTTACTATTTATAATAAAACTAACAGCTTTCAACTTGGAGCAATTCTTAAAAGACTGCAACTGTCATTCAGAGGTTTTTCCCTTGAAACTAACATTAATTCTACCTTTCTGTTCCTATCAATAATTTAAGAGTCATTTACTTGGAAGACGATGCAGGTGTAGACATCTCAAGTACATATTTATTTCCCCCCCCACCAGTAAAATTATGGCCATGCTTTACTTTTGTTAATAGCAACCAAGTGCATTAGCTGGTAAAGAAAAAAACATCTGCCACTGTTTGCCAAAGCAGCCAAATAACATTTCAACAACAACAACAACAACAGGCTTGAGATTGAACAAGCATGTGGAGATTAGTGAGACAAAAATAAAGAAAAAATTAGAGGCATTAAATCTGTCAACCGTTTTCATTTGTCGAAAAGAAATAAAAAGGCTGTCACAATTAAGACGTGTTTTAAAACATGCATACCCATACGGCACACTCCTATGTGTAGTCGCTTTCTGTTTTGCATTAAAACCCCTTCACAAATACAGTAAGCAGGGCCAAATGGAAACCCCTACTCTGGATGTTTTCTCGTTCAAAATGACCGCCATGCTGGGTGAAAGTAAGGCACATCCAAGCACACAACAGTTTGCAAGTGATTAGTGAGTTAGTGTGAGGCAGAGGCCTCCAGCCATCCGTGCTACACATGAACTAATCAGCACCACCTTCTTCCGCTCTCTGAGGATCTGCTGGAGAAGAAGGTACTAAGTCTACAGCTGGGGCTGTCTCAGGATCACCTACACAAGACAGAAATTAGAAAGAGGAAAGAAAGCTACAATTCTGAATAAGTGATTAGGGAGAAACATAATTCCCTTCTGGAAATGGGTTTCAAGACAACATAATTACATGTACATAAAAACATAAAATTGGTTACAAACAGGAAGAAGTGAATCCACAGACCATCCATCTCGTTCGGGAGCGAGCAGCTAATGTGTCCAAGGATTTCAGCCAGCTGCTTCTTGAAAGCCTAAGTATCAGCATGCCTGAGGAGCCCGTTTTCACTCCCACAAGCCTATGTGCAGAGAAATGCCTCCTGATCCCAGTCTCAAACACACTTCCCGATAGCTAGCTTCCTCTTGTCCTCTAGCTGACATTTTAACTGTGGGTGATGCTGTGCTAGACAACGCCCCTGTGGCACAAGCAGGTGATATTACATTCCCTGCATGGCTTCAGTTACTTAGCTGAACGACATAAAACCTGGAGTGGCTTCGACTATTTCAATACAAAATAACAGAGCAAATGAAACACAAGATGAGGAAGTTAAAAATTGATTTTATGCCCCATGTAGGAGACTCCTTCTCTTGACAGACACTTCGCAGCCCGCAAACACATACAGTACTGCAGCAGGACAGGACACCAGTGATTCAGGCGTTTAGATTCGGCAGTGAGCCGCCAGCGAGCACCGCCAGGGCTATCTGAAACCACTCCTCTGCTGCAGCACGAGCACTGCCTGAACTCCATATCAACCACAAGACCCGCAACGAGTGCAGAAACCAGGACAGTTCGCCTGCAGGGCCAATTATCCCTGTAAAGCACATATTCCGAAAAAAAAAACAAAAGCCCTCATTCAATTCATGTCTCCAAGAGCTGGAACCCCATCTAAATGCCGAATCGGTCCCACTCTCGCGGATTGAAAAGCTTGTCCTTACCGGCCTTGTTCTCCGACTCCGCGGTCGGACCTCCTCCCCAGGACCACCTCTTCTGCCTCTGCTCCAGCCTCTGGCTGCGCTCCAGCGTGCGCCGCATCACAGCCTCGTAGTGCTCCTGCAGCAACAGCACGGCCAGGCACACAAGCGCCGTTAGACACGGGCACGAGGAACATTATCCCTACTCTCGGGGGCGAGCAATTCGGGCACCGTTTCTGGAGACCTAGCTGAATCTTGCAATCCATTTTAATTTCAGGCAGCAGCGTGGGGTAGTGCTCAGGGCTCTGGGCTTGTAACCGGGAAGTCGTGGGATCGAAGGTGGAGCACTACTGCTGCCGATTTGCGCAAGGCACACCACACCAGCAGGGCTGTGTCAGTAGGCACAAATGCAAGCTGCGTTGGAAGAAACAGTTAAATGAACTAGCGAGCTTTTAAATGATCAAAAAACAAAGTATAACGATTAGGCTTTCACAGTCCCTAGTCTATGCTCAGACGTCACTCATATCAACAACTAGCGCTGCAGATGACAAGAAAGCTACAGTGAAGGAGAATGAATCTGAAAAGCCCCCGCAGTGTCTCCAGAGTGGAAGGGCGCTCGCCAGAGCACAAGGCCGAGGGTCTATGATCACGGGTTCGAGGGATTCCTTAGGCAGCGGTGTCGAGGGCTGGGCGGGAGACGTTTTCAGCCACCCAGAGCCCCCTGTCCGCCGGTCAGCACTGACCCTCCGGTGCGGAGCGGCGCTGCCTGTGATGTGTTAAAGATGGCGGCGTCTGCCTACTGCGCTGTCAAGGTGCTCCGAGCTTCAAACCCACAGGGTGGATAGAACAAAGGCACTGGCAATTCTCAACTTGGAAAATAAAAGAAATTCCTCTGTCAAGGAAGTGGCTTTTCAGCTTCATATATGCTTAATAATCAGTCCCTCCCCCAGTGCTAGCTGTGTTGTGGAAAATGTTTTCTCGTCTATGGTTACTGGATATTTAAAAGTCAAACAGCAACATTCACGGGCCAGAAAAAAAGATCACTCCACCAAGACCACAGGAAAAGTATTTGCACCAGTGCCCTCTGACAGATGTATAAAAATGTAATTGCTATTCTTGCTCTGCAGATCAGAACATGGATATTGCACGCCGACAAAAACTATTTCTAAAACTAAAAATGACTCTTCATAGAACTGATTATTGGCTACACTGCCGTGCCGAGTCTGAGAGAAAGGAAATACTTGAAATTATGGTCGCTGCTACACCCACTTGATCACAAGATTCGTGACTCAATGATGGAGAAAATATTTGATACAATTAAGCCTCTTACTTTATAAAGAGAATGCAGCATCCCAGTACGTAATCTTGTGGAAGAAAAAAATTAGTAAGGTGAAGTCAGATTTTTGTTCTTCAGTTCCAGCCAACAAATGTACAAATAATAAAGGTGTGCACATTTTGGCTAAAAGTATCTGTTCGCCCTAAAAAAGTGGGACAAGCCCCAGTGGTTTCACTCAACTCAAATGCTCTGACTAACAGGTTGAGCTCAGAACAGCTCTTCACAGATCCTGCTGATGTGCAAACATCCTAGACACTCTGAGGGTGTGCACCTAATGACACAGCACAGCTTGCACTGGAACAATGGCAGGGTGTGGAGGGACCCACTGCACCACACGTAATTCTACTGCTTGCAAGATGTATGAAAGCAGCAAACAGAAAGCATCATGTGTATCTTTGGAAGGTCAGGGGAACAATGTCATTCTGATGACTTAATTCCCGTTTTCATGCACACTCCGAGAAATGCACCACATCTTTCTTATCAGCAGAATATGCAGGAAAAAAAACAGCTGAAACTATGGATGGACTGCTGATAAAACGTTGCATATCGAGTTCAAGGAGATCTGGACTCCTTGGGGTCAACTGGGACTGAGCAGACTGAGAAACTGGCTTCCTTTCGCCAGTTGTTACAACTTGATGATTGGAGTATTTTACAGATCCAAGTGCCTTTTTCTTTCGCCAGTTGTTACAACTTGATGATTGGAGTATTTTACAGATCCAAGTGCCTTTTCAAGCCAGTCCACTGAAGACCCATGGATGTATGCAAGCACCTCGGAATCCAATCGATCCCCTGGGGAATCTGTCTCGCTCATGACCCTGAGAAGCAGGGCCTGCAGACCTGCTGCACTAGAGTCCCAGCAAACTCCGACTTTGACGGCACACAGGCTTGGATTCCATTCCAATTGCACACAGAGGAAATGATTTGAATACATTCTGCTGGCTGACTGGCTGCTGGGATGACTAACTCCAAATCTGAATTTTTCAGCCAAGGACAAATGAATCTGTGTTTACGGTGGACAGGCATTCAAAAAAACAGCGCTGTGTGCGCCCCCCACTGGGGTGCTGTGCAGTGAACAGCATTTTTCAGCAGGACTGCTGTTTGTACACACCTGGCAGATGTCACACAGAATATCAGACACCCACAGGCCATCTAAAAAAACTCTACAAAACTTGTAATCCTTCTCAAAG